AAATTTCTGGACATGAACTCAAAATCAGCACTTGAAACTGTGCACAAATAAATTGTTATTTCTGCAAGCACATGCAATACGTTAATATATCCAAAAGCTTCCATACACTAAAATGCAGTCACAGTTCAATTGTCCATAAATAACGGATGATTTAGCTCACATCATCTCAATTTTCTCAGAGAAAACGTAAAAGAAGTAGAAAGTGCTAGCTTAACGGATTCCCCGTGGTCATAGTTGAGCTACATGATTTACATAGCAGTGAAATTTATTGCAAGAATCCCGTTTCTTTAGCCAAAATAACAAGTACAACGCGAGTTGTAGCGCGATTCAAATACCTTAACCCCTTAGCTACTCTCAATGCTACTTACGTGTAGCACTTACGTGCTTAAAATAATACTTACAGATAAATAACAGCGTTACTATAAAACTTTCATATTATATTAATATCTACTCCTATTAATAAATATCATATTGTAAACAGTAAAAGCGCGCTTGCAGCTAAAATACAATCGCTATTAGTGACAATATACGTTTCTTTTTATTAGTTTTGCATGAGCCAAGAACAGTTTTCCCATCAAGTTCTTTCTGGATATACATACGTCTATTTCCCCCCTTCTTGTGTAATACTTTTCTATAGTCGTTTGTTTACGTTTTCATATAATTTGCTCCCAAGCAGCTAATAATATAAAGATCCGCGATTCTGCTAATGGACAAAATATTCCGCCTCCTTTTTTGGCGTCTGTCTATGCATTTCCGGCGTAGACTGATGACGTCTTTCAGCCGCGAGGAAAGGCTGACATAATAATAATAACAATAATATAGCATGTTTGTTACCTTATTACTGAACGACATTTCTTATTGTATATTTTGTTTTATCATCGTTCTATATTGTAAAAGTAAAAATAAAATAATAACAATAATAATTAATAATGACTATTTCGTAATTGTAGTTAGGTTTCTCACTCGTCCATATAGCACGGGTCCCGTTTTGAACAAATTCTGGCGCGATGTGCAACGTATTTTCGTATGCATTATAACCCCCCCCCCAAGAGTTCTTGTCATAACGTTTAAATAGATGCATGAATTTATGACTCACACAAAAGTATTATTCAATATCGGGATATATAATAAAGTATGGTAAGATGAAACTACAAAATAGCCTACTTAAATGTTTTTGAGTATTCCCTGGAAGTAAAGTTTCAGCTAGGCTGAAACTTACAACTTCTAAGAAAAGTCCTAAAACCTGAAGACATTTCTAATTTAATCTCTTTATTAACTACTTTATATTCCTTGAATTTATTTTATTTTGTAACCTAAGATGAGTAGGGTGACCAGGGGGCTGTTCCACGAAGCGAGCTAACCTCAAAATCCAGGCTTATTTCGACAATCCCGGCTTAATTTTTCCAAATTCGGTTCCACGAACGAGGCTAACCTGAAGCTCCGCTTAGTTACTATGTCAACATATGCTCTTGGACAAGCCTGCTCCGTGGCAGGTTAGCTGTGAAGCTTAGCTTAGCTTGATGAATATAATTGAACAAGCCATGTGATGTCACAGCACGACATTCTGCGGGGCTGGGATTAAACTCTTCTCCGACTT